GCGCGTCCTTGCGCCGGCGAATCCCGGCCCCCGGCCGTACTGCGCATGCTCGAGCATGCACAGTTCGGCAGCCTCCCCCTCCCATCCGACTCTTTCTCCCCGGCATCTGATCGTGCCGGGGAGCGCCGCGCTGCGGCTCAGGGGATCCGTGGGATCCCGCCGCGGCGTCTGAACTTTGGTGCGGCTTTTAAAAGCCGCACTTTTCCCTGTGTTTTCCCTGCAATGTGGCAGGGGCCTCTGAAACATTTTAAACCCCTGTTTTCTGTTCCCCACTAAAGCCACAAAAACAGCTGAGTGTTGGGAGCAGTTTGCTTCCCGCTGCTCAGCTGTTTCAGGCTATTTGTGGTTCAGCCACAAACCACGAACCAACACAAACCCTAATTTTTCAATTTGTGCCCATCCCTAGTTGATACTTGAAGGCACACAATTCACAAGATGCTAGATAGTATCATTTGATATCAATTTCTGTGGATCCTAGGCTAGAAAGAGAACCACATACTCCAAAGGTTGACATTTGAATTCTTGGTAGAAGGTTTTATCTTCTGTCGCTGATATGTTCAAAGTGTGCAGTCTGGTTTTCAAGCACTGCTGCAAACAACAATCAGATTTCCATAAAGCACAATACAAAGAGAGCAGGTTTAGGACACAGTGGGTGTGCGATCATATGTACCAAAAGCGGCGGCAACGGTGCAATTCCCTCGTGGAGTAAAGGGGCGCGATCAGACACATCTGTCCAGCGTCCTGGAGTTATCAGCACTGCATCGTATCATGCCGCAGAAGCATGGAAAAAAGCCACCGGGTAAAACCTTCTAGTATACGGAAGTGCAGGGCGTGCGGCCGGAGGTCTGATCAACCAAACGCACGTCATTTTGGCCCGGGGAAAAGAGCCTCACTTCCCGACCACATTTTCTCGCTTGTGTGACCGCAGCCAGTGTGAGGCAATTGCTAGATTGGAGACAGCCAGGTTCAAACCCCATATAACAATTTATGTTATAAAATCTATGTGTGGTTCATTTGTCTGGCCTAGACAAGCTTACTATTAAACCAGCAGTGTATTGTTCATCATAATCAATGTTCACTAGCTGTGAATTAGTGTGCAAGGAGTACCAAAAGCAGAATGAATACACTTATTTGGACTGCTTTAGGGATCAAATGACTTGTGAAAATGGTCAGATATAATAGCTCCTCATTCTTCCAGTTATAGGGTATCTTATGAGATGCCAGCAAAGCTTACATTAGAGGACATCTCACTGGGTTTTTTTAAAATTTACACTCCACCTTTCCCACTGAGACTCAAGCATGGGTTCCACAATTAAAAACAAATGCAATAGGAACAGTATTCAACTAAATGAAATAAAGCACATGGCATCACAATAAAAACTGGATGACTAAATTAGAGAATGCACTAGAAAGATAGTATATTCCATGCATACAATAAAAGGATTACAACATTGAAGAGTAATACAAAAAAACCCAGTATAATATACACAATGTTTTATTTTGTAAACTACCTCAGGCATAAGGAGAGGTGGCATAATTTTTTTCTAAATAAAATACAATGAAAACTGCCTGAAATTTCAGACAAGGGGTTGAATCCAGATGAAAGTAGCGATTTTTGTCAGTTCCCCTTTACTGCTCCAGACCCTACGGAGGCCCACCCTATCCCTCAGGATCCCTTTTCCTCAGGAGCAGCATTTCATGGAGAGAGACTGGGGCATGAAAGAGGAAGGCGGGAGGCGAGGGGATTCCATTCTGCCATTGGAAAACTTAGTCTGGATACAACCCTGTTCCCTCATTTTACACATTCCGCCAAACAGTAGGCCATTCTACCGAGTGGGGATCACAAAAGTCAAAAATACTATTGTTCAGTTTCTTATTTTAGTGAGATTGGGGGGGAAATAGATTATTTTATGGAAAAAGTTTTTAATGAAATGTTTATATAACAGGCAATTTAGTACAAAAAGCACTGTTTTGAGTGATGGCGTGTACTGTCGTGCAAAGTCTGCATTTCATCACGGCTGTATGAAAAAGAACAAAGAGTTTCGTCAGATATTTTGAATAACATTATGTGGATTGTGATCCAATTCCATGGGTAAGCTAAGCTGATCATGTGAATGAAGTCAAGTGTAACGATTCACTATCAAAGAGTTTTATAATTTAACCTGTACAATTTAACCTGAAGTCTAAGTCACCACTTGCCATAGTAGCTGTACCCTGGAGTTTAGTTATGAACATAGACTGTGTAGTTTCAAGACTTGGCAATTGATTCTAATGACTGAATGTACATCAGGAATGTACATCAGGAATACCAGTAATGGAGCTAAATTACAAAATAGCAGAAATTCTACTCTGCTTCTTTGGACCAATATGCAAAAAATACCATTTCTTCCAGTGAAGTTTATCCATTAAACACTTTTTTTACTTGCGTTGTGAGACAACACTCTATTCCACAGCTTAAATTAAATAATACGTTCTCTGTGTGCTTTTGTAGCCCAAAGGAGCTGATCGGAAGCAGAAAACAGACCGAGAAAAAATGGAGAAGAAAACTGGTCAAGAAAGGGAGAAATACCAGCCTTCTTATGATACAACCATTCTCACAGAGGTAATAGCTCTACTGCTCGATGTGTTTATTAAAATATTTATATGCTGCCTTCCCCTACATAGTGGACATAGATGATTATGTATAATAGGTTGCACAAAATTATTGAAGGCAACTTTGTATGGAAAGATATTTGACATTTCAGGAAGATAAAGGATTTTATGGTGAACTGGACTATAGTTTAAAATTATTCTGTTAACAGTACAAACAGTTTGTACAACAGTAGAAACAAACAGACTCATACCCTTCTAAATCCATTGAAGACAAAGGGATTGGAAGGATATAACTCTGCAAATGACACCGTTAGGTGTCCATCAACCATTATCTGCCTGGCCTATACTGGAAAGCAGATTAGTTGTAGAATCTCAGTCATCACCTATTGAAATTTTCATATTCCAAAGAGCTGAAAGTAGGCCTTTTCCTTCAAGTCTTATGCTTCATTAGGAAGCATCTGGCCAAAGTCCAAAAGAGGATACTGGACTACATCTGGGATCCCAAAATGACAAGTGAGGCTTCAGGAATTTGGGGAGTAAGGTTGTCAAGAATGGGCAGTGATAATAGTGCAAGTTCAAGGTAAAGAGCTTTAGTTGGCTAAATCCTCGGTATTATAAGAACTGCACATAGTTACATGCTGTAATTTTAAGGCACTTTTTGCCAAGCAGTCAAAGCAATGGTATTCCCAGTAGTCGTGTATGGCTGCGAGAGTTGGACTGTAAGGAAGGCCGAGCGCCGAAGAATAGATTCTTTTGAACTATGGTGCTGGAGAAGACTCTTGAGAGTCCCTTGGACTGCAAGAAGAACAAATCAGTCGATCCTAAAAGAAATCCACCCTGACTGTTCCCTGGAAGGCCAAATAATGAAACTGAAGCTCAAATACTTTGGCCAGCAAATGAGAAGGGAGCCCTCGCTGGAGAAGACCCTGATGCTGGGAAAGATTGAAGGTCAAAGAAGACGGGGACGGCAAAGGATGAGATGGTTAGACAGTGTCATAAATGCAACGAACATGAAATTGAGCCAACTTCAGAGGACGGCGGAAGACAGGAGGGCCTGGCGGGATCTGGTCCATGGGGTCGCGAAGAGTCGGACTCGACTGTGCGACTGAACAACAAACATATACAGTGCTATGGAAACCATCAGCAGTCTTTCTTGTGAAATTTTATTTTATTTTTTGAGTCCAATAGCACCTTTAAGACCAACAAAGTTTAACTCTGGGTACAAGCTTTCATGTGCAGGCACACTTTTTCAGATCTGAATAAGTGCGCATGCCCATGAAAGCTTATACTCAGAAGAATTAAACTTTGTTGGTCTTAAAGGTGCCACTGGACTCAAACATTGTTCTGTTGCTTCAGGCTAACACAGCTACCCCACCTGAATCTTTCTTTTATTTTGACATCTTAGTCTTGGAAAATTCACACAACACTAGGAAATAGATCAAATTCCCTTAATTAAGAGTAGAAATAAACTTGCTTCATTTCATTTATAATCCCTTTATAATATTTTTCTACAGTTTCGCCAGCTATGTAAGTACGGCTGAGATCATTAGATTTAGAAAAGGACCTTATTTTAAGGGATTGCCAGACCTAGATGATTTGCTCTCAACAGGAATGGCCTTTCGCCTCTAGAAGCAAGAAATCCTGTGGCCACTAAAGAGTTAAATATTTGCTAATGCTTATGTTTGCCCAGGAGAGAAATCCTAGGAAATGCCACAGATCATCTCTTTCTGTCATAGCAAACAAACAGAAGAAATACCATTCAGAATGTTCTTGCGATCTTGACAGCTTATTTAGCTTCCTGCCAGCAGTATTCATCTAGAGTTACTCCTTTAAATTCTGTGGATTTACTGCTAATTCAAACTGCTTTCAACTGAAGTAGGATAAGACAAGGTTCAAAATACATAGTGTTGTATCAGCTTTTCTCTAGCAGCAGCTCTCATGTACAACTGATACACATGCTTAGTCTTCTTTTGAGAGCATTTTTCAATGTAAGTAGGAAGTGTGTGTGTGTGTGAATCCCTCCCATGTAAAAGGTTCTCTACATCTGTGAAGGTAACAAGTCTAGCTTTAGCCTAGTGTCCTGCTTATTATGAAAATTTGAATAGGTTCTTGGATTCTGATGTAATCCTTCTGCTAGGTAGAGCACAAAGCGAGATTCACAGCAAATTAGGCTGTGGGTTGATTGGCTTAGAGGTTAAGATGCTGAGCTGCAGACCGGAAGGTCTGTAGTTCGGCAGTTCGAGACCCAAGTGCCGCATGACAGAGAGAGCTCCCATCTCTGGTTCCATCTCCTGCCAACCTAGCAGTTCGAAAGCAAGAAATTGCAAGTAGATAAATAGGTACTGCTTCGGTGGGAAGGTAACAGCATTCTGTGAGCCTCGGCATTTAGTCATGCCGGCCACATGACCATGGAAATGTCTTCGGACAGCTCTGGCTCTTCGGCTTGGAAATGTAGATGAGCTCCGCCCCCTAGAATCAGATTCGACTGACTTTCGAGCAAGGGGATACCTTTACCTTTACCTGATTTGCCTCAGCCCCCAAGTTAATGTCAAAAGAAGTGTGAGATTTCATTGGCTACAGAGAAGGCAGAGCAGCCAATCAGAGGAAGTCAGCTGGCCTTTTGCCCTGCTGCTCCATCTCACCTCAGCTTTCCTGCAGCAATTGACCCACCCTCCTTAGGGGCAGCACACGATTAGCTGGACGCTATATAGGGCCAAGCAGGAATTTTTGGGGGTTCCTGCAGTTTGGCTGGGCCAGGAGCCCCTTTTCTACCTGCTCCATGCCATTTCAGTGGGGTGGATTTCCCATTAAATAGGCCTGGTTTTAATAACTGGGTAGGCCACCGAGTTGGCAGAAATAGGCTGGGTTGCTTTGGATAGGTAGGGTTAATCAGCAAGCATCCTGAGACATCTGCATGGAGGGCGTGTCCATACTAAACCATTGTGTCTTGTGGCTAGGTGCACTGTGAAAAAGTGCCCTTGGTGCTGAGCAGCATCTTTGGAACCTGGTAGTAGCCTTGCGGCACATCCAGGAAGAGTGATGATGCTGGGCACGTACAGCTGTGCAGGCAGTGATAAGCAAGGCCAGCAGAAACACCAGTCAAGTTTGGAGCAGGGGTGGATCTGTCCACAAGGCAAACCATGTGCAGCCTGGCTTCAAAATTGTCTGCTTATTGAAATAAACAGTGACATAGATCAGCCCTTTAGGCAAGCTGAATACAGTTAAATAAACTAGTAAAACCCCTTCTTGATGTCTTGTGTCTTCATATGGTGGAGTGCCAGGGCAAATTCTTATTTTCTTGGTCGGGGGAGTAAATTCATTTCCTACTAATGATGCTGCAGTAAAACTGGTGTTTGTAAGAATGGGAGACAGCAGTTTCTGGTCCCTACAAAACATGCTCTTCTCACTGTTCCTAATTTGGTTTTGTTCTAATAGTGTTCCCCCTGGCCAGATGTGCCTTATCAAGTAAACAATGCACCGTCTCCGAGTTACAACAGCTCTCCAAACAGTTTCAGCCTTGGAGATGGGTATGTGATAAAATATTTTTGTCTCTTCAGCTGACAGCGGAACCTTAGTTTATTTTTGTGTGTGCGCTTTTTTTCTTCTTTTTAGATAGATTAGGCATATTAAGATGCATTTAGTGTTAAGATAGGAATAAAGCTGTTTTAGTGAGATGGTAAGACTAATTTCTGTCCAGTTGTGCTTTTGAGCAATTCCTGTTTACTCAAATGATAGTAAAGTGAATTTTTCAGTAGCTTGTACCCATTGCTGGCAAAGGAGAAACATTCAAGCCCAAACTCTGTGTCATACATTTTTAAGTAGTAAATGTAATAACTTACAATGGCATATGAGCTGTGCATTCAGCTCCTGTCCTACCTCATGTCTTCTTCTAGAGAAAAGCTAGGTAAAAATACCTTAAATGAACACAAATGTAACCAATGATATACACAAATTGGTCCCTTTTGGCAAGAGAAGTGCAGGATGAGGAACAAAAATTTGAAGGGCCAAATATGGAACAAATCCAAATGTCTCAATTGTGTGTATGTTTTTTTCCCCTGAGGTAAATTCCTGTAGATAGGAAATTAGTAGAAATTTGAATAAGTTGAAACTATTTACTAATTACTGGGTGCGGTCAGACGGCGTGCTGAAAGCGGGTTAAACTGGTCCGGTTCTGACTGGATTATATTTGGTCTGGATAATCGCAATCACACTTACCTCCCTTATCCCGCCTCCCGTCGCTCCCCGCCATCTACACTACAGGGTTTTAAAAAAAATTTCTCAGTTTGCGCATGCGCATAGGCACTCATCCATAGGATGCGCATGCGCAGAACTGCCAGGGCGAATCAATCCAACCCCTCCAACAAAAGACTTCCCTTTAAACTTTTGACCCGAAAATGGCCTCTGTGAGATCTCGAACTCATTTGAATGCTAAAACGAGAGACCGTTTAAATGTTGGTTTTATGAGCAGGTGGGCGGGGCACCGCCTATGCACACACTGCTGATGCAGCTTTCGAGCGGGGAGGGGGTTTAAACCGGAAGTGGCTTGGCACCAGAGGAGCGATCACACAGGGGAAAGTGCGGCTTTAAACAGAAGAGCTGAGAAAACACCACTTTGGGACCTGGTAACAAAATATTCCGCATTAAAGTGGTTTTGAGCTGAAATCCAACGGCTGGGGATGGGAGGCAGATGTTGACTGTGTGATCGTGCATATAGAATCCGTTACTGACGCGTGACGACACCAGATCAAACAGCGCGTCTGAACGCACCCACTGAGTATTTGATAAGATGTGCACATGATCTTGGAAAGGAAGCTATAGAGTAGACATATTTATGATTTTAATAGCATCTTCTGGTTCTTGCAGCAGTCACACTCTACAAATCTGTATTTCAATTTTTGACCAACCAAATAAGATGAAAGGTGGGGGACAGACAGCAAATGTAATTGATAAGAGGCTTAAAAATTCTATTCTTTTTCTTTCCTGACTTTGTATAATTTTTAGAAACAGTTCTCCAACTCCCCAGGTCGAGCTCCTGCCTCCCAGCAATGACGTAAGTATTTGAGATCATGTTAATGTGATGCTTTTCTTTTTTTAGGACACTGGTGAACAGTTCATTTCAAGACCCTCTTATTCTTTTTGCAATGTAGCATCTCCTTCCTTCTGCTTCTATTCAAGATGCTCAGCAGTGGCTTCATCGAAACAGATTCTCTCCATTCTGTAGACTGTTTTCAAGTTTTTCAGGTATGTGGGACTATATGTCTCTGTGCCTTTATCATCCTTTTTTGCTTACCTGGAGCAAACGTGGTATAATGAATAATTTTTTAGGTCTTCTAAATGAAAACTTTTGTTGTGCAATACATCTACACATTCCTCACTTGTTTGACACAGTTCTTTCACTTTAATTCAAGGTTCCTGTTTTGTTGTAGGGATATTATTTTCACTGCTCAAATGGCAATATTCCATGCTTGGTGAAAATGCTGTCGTTCTCCTGGGAAGCAAATTGTTAATATTGTGATTACTATTGGAATGTGTTTGTATATTTAAAATTAAGGGCTCAGCAATACAGAGTCAAAATATGCTTTAAAGGGAGCCCTCTATATGTTATTTGAGGGGAGTAGGATACCTTTCAAAGGGCCCAGCCAGACGTGCCGGAAAACGCACGGGGCGGGGGGGGGAAGCGCAGCTATTTGCACCGTCGCATTCTGATGTGCTGTTATGCGATCAGACGCGACGGGCGGCTTCCCCGCAGCAAAGAGGACGACGGGGGAGGAAGCCGTGCGCCAGCGCGATCACACCAGGAGGCTTCCATAGGCGGCCTGTGGCAAAGCGTTTGCTAGTACATGCGGTGTGCTAGTTTTTTACTGTGCGGCTTCGGCGGCTTGCCACGGGTTTGCCATGGGAGTGCTACGTCTCCCAGATGTTCCTGTGTGATCGCGCCCGGATACTCCGCGGGACTCCCATGCCTTCAGCGGGGCAAATGCTCCGTGTGACCGGGGCCAAAAAAGTGGAGAAGTGGCCACAATTTACATCTACAATGTTTTTGAAAACTAATGGGAGAGATCTGCTCCACTTTTGGAGTCACTGTGAATATGCTGTCTACATCTAACAAGAGATGCAAACTGGATCAAGGACAGCAGTGTTCCACCATTTTGTAAAGCTTTTATTTAGGGGCTGTGGACTCCTTTCTGCGCATTGGAATGCCATCGAGATAGGGTTTTTTTAAAGGGGGAAAGTTGCAGCAATCCTATATCTTCTCTCCATTATATGCTGGTGAGATCATGCTGTTGTCATGGAAAGGGACATTTGAGAACATTGCAAACGGTAACGTGCAGTTATGCAGTGGAAAACCCTTCAGTGCGGAAACCCATTAAAAGTACTGAGTGTGGCTCCTGTGGGTATGAGCTCAGGTTTTGCATATTTGTGCTATCTCAAATCTAGGAGTCAAGTATTTAAATCAAGATAGGAGATCTGGGAATAGATGTAGCATCATGCTGTGAAGTGGAAATTCTGTGGATTTCCCCAGGTTGCTTCTGTTTATGATTTAATGGTGCATCTGTAATTTTCATATAAGAACATTTTGGTACCATTTCCTGAAGGATGTGCCTCTCTCAGGAGGTCTCTTTTGTTGATGGTTCTTGGGAGTGTTTGGGAGAGATCATTAAGATGCACATCTGATTAACTTAATTTATTAAGGCTGTGGTCACACACACTAAATAATCCACTTTCAATCCACTTTCAGTGCACTTCCCAACTGGATTTTACTGTGGGAACTGGCAAAATCCAGTTGGAAAGTGCATTGAAACTGGATTATTTAGTGTGTGTGACTACAGCCTAATTCATGTTGTTAAAAACTGCTTTTGTCTCAGAGCAGAAACAGCATGGCCTTAATGTCTTCCTTCTAGATCTGCCTTTTTTTAACTGATTACACTGTGGACTTGTATAAAGCCTCTTTTTATGCAGCTGTTCGCTGTGTTTCTCCTTCTCTCAGCGCCCCTTCTCATTTGCTTTAACAGGCCTGTGAGATTTGGTTCTGTGTTCCTCATAAACCTTTGACAAAAACAACCTTCTCTTGAAATGTGTAGGTGCTGACTTACTGAAGATGTCCAAAGAAGATTTTATTCAGATCTGTGGGCCTGCCGATGGCATTCGACTTTTTAATGCCATTAAAGGAAGGTTTGTCATTGTCTCTTCCTCCTGTTGTTGTAGCATCAGTTTGTGACGTGAAAGTCCAGCCCTGAATTTAAGCAGAATATTGTGCAGTGCCCAGGGTTCTTGTGCCCTGTCACATTATCCGAATTATGCTATGATTAAATGAAATGGCACTTGAGAACTCACATTAAGTGTATTCGTATACCTGGGGCCCATCACATCTGCCAAAAAGAAAAACGGTAAGCAGTGTGTGTCAGTCAAAAGTGTTAATGTTAAAGAACATGTTTTGCCTGTAGGAATGTAAGGCCCAAGATGACTGTCTATGTCTGTCAAGAACCTGAGCAGAATCAACCTCATCTTCACCAAAAACGAGAAAATGGAGATGGAAATCTTTGTGGTAAGCATCCTGTCCTTCGGCTTAAGATCCCAGTTTTCCACGAGTTACATCAAGATGCCCCCCCACACTTGCATAGTAGAACCGAAGTCAGATATGCCTGATCCTGTTTAGTCACCCACATACACAATAGGCAGGTATGTATGGGGATGTTGTGTTAGCACAGTAGTGTGAATCTAAGCTATTGTGAGAGCACTTTTCTTGAAGTCTTTAGATCACGAATGAACAGGTGTGCTTGCAGAGAGCCATGATAAAAATTGCAGTTGACAAGTCAGTAGACAAACAATAGGCTTGCCCCATTTGATTCATGTAGAATACCATTCTTAATACACCCAAGTAGGGGAAACCACATGTAGTTACAACGTTGTATAGGATCCAAATGCCCGCTTAAATCTAATTTCCCCTGTTTCCAGTCATTAAAGAAGGAGCTGCGGTGGCTCAAGTGGTTAAGACGCTGAACTGCAGGCTGTGGAAGGTCGATAGTTCAGCAGTTCGAGACCCGGGTGCCGCATGACGGAGTGAGCTCTCGTCTCTAGCCCCAGCTCCTGCCAACCTAGCAGTTCGAAAGCAAGAAATTGCAAGTAGATAAATAGGGACCACTTCGGTGGGAAAATAACAGCGCTCTGTGCACCTCGGTGTTCAGTCATGCGGCCACATGACCACGGAAACGTCTTCAGACAGCGCTGGCTCTTCGGCTTTGAAACGGAGATGAGCACCGCAACCCTAGAGTTGGATTCGACTGGCTTTCGAGCAAGGGAACCTTTACCTTTACTTTAACTGAGAACTGAACCAGAAGCTCAGGTGTCAGCCTCAGAAACCCCAGTCCTAAATGTTCAAAAACATCAGGGGGCCGTCTCCTCCCGTGGGAGGAGATGGCCCCCTGATGTTTTTGAACATTTAGGACTGGAGTTTCTGAGGCTGACGCCTGAGCTTCTGGTTCAATTCTCAGTTAGCCACCAGCTTAATTCCTGCTCAAACTCTAGCAGGTTTACAGTGCAGTCCTAAACAGGGTTATGCTTTCCTAAATCAATTTAAACTTAGAAGGGTATACCTCTGTTTAAGATAGTCAAGGGGTGGGCGGGCGGAAATCTCTTCTCATGATCAGTGAACGGGTCCAGAACCATCAAGTAAAACAAGTGTTGCTAAACACCGGAGGGCAGGACTGCCGTTAGCCTTACATGGAATGAGTAGTATGAACATTTGTAATGGATTGCTGAAATTTGGAACATCAGCATTTAAAAAATGGGGAAGTCTTATGCAAAAGACTAGAAGGGTGGTGTGAATTATTAAGTGGGGAGCCTGAAGTATCATCCTCCAAATTGCTCAAGATTTCGATGGATCAAGGCACCTTAGAGCACCTTAGGATGGCCTCTGTGTAAATTTAACACAAAAGGTCAATTTTATCCCCAGGCAAGTGACTTTCTGCTCTTTTCCAAATAACTTTTTATTAAACAAATAACATGATACAGGTAAGTTAACAATTTTTAAAAAACATACTAACAGTCTATATATTACATTTTACAGTTTTTCTTAGTTTGATACAATAGTATTAGTATATATAACAATGGTTATTCACCAGATGTTTAACTCATTAACAATTGTAGGAACTTCTCCTTGTTCAAGCAACTATTCTAGTATAGGTAGCCAAACAGCGGCAAATTTTAAGGCAGAATTGTATACATTGTCTTGAATATATGGAAAAGGGTCTCAATTGACTCGGAGGGGCATGAGCATAATCTCAAATGCCTAGGCATACTAACAGTCTATATATTACATTTTACAGTTTTTCTTAGTTTGATACAATAGTATTAGTATATATAACAATGGTCATTCACCAGATGTTTAACTCATTAACAATTGTAGGAACTTCTCCTTGTTCAAGCAACTATTCTAGGATAGGTAGGCAAACAGCGGCAAATTTTAAGGCAGAATTGTATGCATTGTCTTGTATTTTGTCAGATATTTCCGCCATTATGTATATTTTCCAGAGTTTATCATGCCAATGTTGCATTGTGGGTTTTTTATTACTTTTCCATAGTAATGCAACAGAATTTTTTGCTGCTACTAATAAGATGGCCACTCTTTTGGTTATACATTTTGAACTTACATTGGTTTGCCACCTGTTCAATAAAATATGTTCCACCGTATTTTCTACTTTCTGCTCTTAATCCAGTTTGGTGTAGTGGTTAAGTGCGTGGACTCTAATCTGGGAGAACCGGGTTTGATTCCCCACTCCTCCACTTGCACCTGGCTGGATGACCTTGGGCAAGGCATAGTTCTGATAAGAGCTGTTCTTGGAAAAGAGCAGTTTCTGTCAAGAGCTCTCTCAGCCCCACCTACCTCACAGGGTGTCTGTTGTGGGGAGGGGAAGGGAAAGGAGTTTGTAAGCCGCTCTGAGACACCTTTGGGTAGTGAAGGGCGGGATATAAATCCAATCTCTTCTCTTCTTCTTCTTCTAATCTTGGTTTCTTGCCGTGAGTTAAAAACTAACACAAACAGTAAATGAGGGCCCTTACATTTTGTACCACTTTAGGCTTTGCCTTGAATATATGCAAATCCTGGTGCATTCATACAGTGCAAATTCTAAAAGTTTCTCCCATTGCTATCGCAGTATACCATGCTATCTTCTTAGAAGAGCTGACAACTCTGGAATTAATGGAGAAGATTGCAAACTTGTACAGTATTTCCCCACAGCAGATAAACCGTATCTATCGGCAAGGACCTACGGGAATCCATGTGTTAGTGAGCAATGAGGTAAGGGTTTAACTAGAATATGTCACATCTGATACCAGGTGTTGAGTTTAAAGGGACTTCTCTGACATAAACCATATTAAACTTGGAGTGACCTTATCATTGTGGATTATGTGGGGTTTCCCCTGCACTCGAAGTTACTAAACCTCAAATATTAAACATCTTCCTCTGTTCAGGTCTGTGTGGGGTGGGGGTTACAGTTAGTGACTGGATCTTAAAATGAAGAAACTGATTATCCCTCTTGCTTTTTTGTTTGTATAAGAGATAAGAAATTTTGCATTCACTATAGTAGCAGAGAACAAGAAACCTTGGAAATAGAAGTAATCTACATTCAGTCTGGGACCAACATACCTTCAGGACCTTCTCTCCCAGTATGTCTCCCAAAGAGCATTACACTCTGCAGATCAACATCTGGCCTAAAGGATGTCCACAGAGCCTCAACCAGAGCCAGAGCTTTTTCAGCTCTGGCACCAGCCTGGGGGAACAGTCTCCTGATTGAGATTTTGGCCCTGCCGGACTTAATGCAGTTTTGTAGGGCCTGTAAAACTTAGATGTTCTTCCAGGCCTATGGCTGAAGCCAGAGATCCCTCTAAGCTGCACTAGCAGGTACTGGTGCCCAACATTTCAGAGGCCAGCTCAGGGAATTTAGCTTCTGCTCAGACTAAGGCATTTCCCCCTCCCATTAGAAACAATGGAGGATGGGGGCATCTCTTTTTGGGGGCCATAGAATTGGTTTCTCTGGTCCAATCTTTTTGAAACTTGGGGAGGTTTTTGAGAACAGGCACCAGCAGCAATGCTGCAAATTTGGTGCATCTACCTCAAAATAACAGCTCCCACAGAGCCCCAGAGCCCCCCAGAGCCCCCATAGGCTATAATGGTCCCCACAGGCTATAATGGACCCAGAAAAAAATAGATTTTTTTTGCACACCTGTTATGCTTTTCAGTGTGATTTGTAAGCTGCCTTGTGCTATAGGAAAAAGTGGGATATAAATGTTTGAATAGATAAGTAGTTTGGGCAGGTTGGTAACATTTAAGCAACTTCCTGTTTGTTAGGTTAGGCAGTGTGGAATATAATGGAAAGGGGTGGTTAGATCTGTTCTCTGGAGGCCAGGTCTACCAGTATAGTGGATAGGGGAGGGTAGACCTGTTCTCTGGAGGCCAGGTTGACCAGTATAATGGAAAGGGGTGGGTAGACCTGTTCTCTGGAGGCCAGGTCTACCAATATAGTAGAAAGGGTAGGGTAAACCTGTTCTCCAGAGGCCTGGTCTACCCCCATAGAGGACAACATTTTCTGTAATGGAGTTTGATTTGATCTTCTTTGTGGTCTCTGTGGAGTCCCACACATGGGGGTTATGCACCTGTGCCTGAACTTGACCTCAGAGACCTACAAGAGCTAGCCTCTGGCATTTGGCGTGTTCTCTTCCTGCATTCTAGGGAGCAGGCACCAACTGCGCATGCCTGGAACGGGGAAGGAACGCCCTCCCAGTTAGTTTCTTCTTGACCACGGTGCTGGTCAGACTGACCTCGCTGCGTTCCTGCTCCTGAGCTACCTTATAGGCGTCTTCTCCTAGCCATCTCTTCATCTGTGACCTTCTGTCTGATTTTCTACAAAAAAAGCCCTGTCTGTGACCTTCTGTCTGAAAAAAAAGGAAGCCTCCATGAATCTTTTGTCATTGACTGTCTCCCTCACCCCTCCCCCCGGGTCCTCGGTATGGCGCATGGAAGGGAAGACTTGCTTCAAACACTGCCGAAACTGTGAGGGAAAGATCCCAACCACCGACGGGCATTCCCTGTGCCTTTTTTGCTTGGGCGAGACCCACAAACCTGACTCTTGTGCCCATTGCAGCAACTTCACCAAACAGGCTTGAAAAAATAGAGCTGTGAGGTTGAAGAGCCACCTTCTTGAGATTCCGTCTGCTGATGCCTCAATCCTCGAGCTCCAGAGCCTCGCCGCCTCCCCCATCTCAGAGGGGAGAGTCGGTCAAGTCAGCAGCCTCCTCGGCCTCGATGGCAGCAAAGTGTAAGACCAGCAAACAGTCTAAGGGACTCTTGGTTTCATCCCCCGATGCACTGAAACGGAAGAACTCACACAAGTTGAAGGATCGATTAGTCCCAACACTCGGGCACTTCTGTCCCTGTCTTATCTGTGGAGACCTCAACCACTGGCCCTCAGGACTCCACCTCTGCTCTGACTCTTAACTTCAACCCTGTCTACCGTGGCTGCTCCCCTCATGCAAGTGGTGCATGTTCTGACCAGATTGCCATCTGTGTGTAGCTACTGGCCGTCGGACTTCCTCAAATCCAACCCCGCCCTTCGGGACAGATCTCCCTCATGGCCTGCCACCTCAGCCCCGATTCTCTCAAAGCCGCTCTCAATCCCACAGCAGGCAGCATCTTCACCATGCCCCTGCCTTTTATGCTGCACCCTATGAGGGCTATCCAAGATACTTGTTGGACTCACGCTCTCTTCTTTGCATCAGCGCTTCTCTCGAGGCTACCCGGAGCGTTATCAGTCTCCATCTCGTTCCTCCTACAACACTCGGGACCGATACTCCCGGGCTTTTTCACCACACTGATTGGAAGATTTAATAGTTCATCTCCCTTGGATCCCATGACCTCTGATTCTGGGTCCTCCAGATGCACCCATTATCATCAACTTGCCTGTGGCTCCTCCAGCTTTCACACTCACCGGTCCTCCTGGATCTCCAGCTGAGCTGTCTTCCCATACAACAATTGCTATTCTGACCCCTGTACCTACCGTCCTGTCAGACGACGATCTCAGTTCCCTGGATTCCACCTCGGAACCATCAGACTCTGAAGCAGACAACACACTACACACCTCTCCTGACTCAGACGTCATCCACCCTTGTTCACTTTCTCTGTTGGAAGGATCCAAATCCTACCTTGAACTGGTGATGCATATGGATACTGCTCCGAACATCCATATCACAGATCTTGTGCACAAGCTGGTATAATCTGACCTCCCACTGGCATCCTTACTCCCCATGCTCCCGGTGCACTTGGGGGCCCTTTGTGAGGCATGGGTCAAGCCAGCTTCTATCCCACTGGCCTCGAAGCGCTTTGTATCCCTTTATTGGGTTCAACCCTCGAACTATAAATTTCTTTTCTCACACCCGGCTGTGAACTCTGTCATAGTGCACTCCGCAACCAAATCCAAGCAAGCTTGACATTCCGTACGTCCGGACCGCGAAGGTCAGAAGTTGGACACCCTGGGGCAGAAAATGTATTCCGTCACAACTACCACAGCCAAAATACAGAACTACTTGGCATATTTCTCGGCTTACTCCATCCACATGTGTAGCCAACTCTCCACTCTGGTGACCGAGCTGCTGGGAAACCTCTCAAAAGACTGCCACTACCCTAGTCAACAAACTGTCCAGATTTGCAAAACAACAGATCAACACTCTAAGACATGCTGTCTCCTGCTTGTCAAAGGCTCTGGCCATCTCCATTGCCCTCAGAAGACATGCTTGGCTGCACTCCACCACCTTACAACTAGACATAAAGTCCAAGGTGGAGGGTGTCTTCCATGCCTCCACAGACAAGATCCTCACCAGTGTGGATGATAGCCAAAAGAGGGTAAAAAGCCTGAGTGCCTCACGGCCTCCTCAACAGAGTAAGGGCCCCCAAAAACGTGGAGACAAAGCTCTTTCAAGCGTTCCTGGTCCCCTCATCAATCAGACTACTGGAAACGTAAAGGTTCTCCAACTAAACAACCATACCTTTTGAGATTCACTCACAACGTTAATGCTACTAGCTTTTTCCTCTCATGAAGCAGAATTTTTGCCCACAACACTGTGGAGCTTAGAGGGAACATTGGCTGAGGTGGCGTGAATCCAAATTTTATTGGCCTCCCCCTGCCCTTCTCCTCTGCTGTACTGTTGCTCTGTAACATCTGCATTGTTTCCATCTCGCATTGATTTTTGTCTGCCCGTCCCCCCCCTCAGTTTTAGTTGCATCTGCCTGTTCACAGGTAGATGAATTATTGGTGCCATCGGCAGTAGTTTATTAGTATAAATTGAGGTATTGGTTTTAAACTGCTTATTATGTTTTAATTGGTTGTATTATGTTGTTTATATTTTGTTGTAACCTGACCTGAGCCTGCTTCTGGGGGAGGGAGGGCTAGAAACCGCATAAATAAATAACATTTTCACCCATTAATTTTAAATGACGTATATAGGTAAAGGTTTCCCTTGCTCGAAAGCCAGTCGAATCTGACTCTAGGGTTGTGGTGCTCATCTCAGTTTCCAAGCCGAAGAGCCAGCGCTGTCCAGAGACATTTCCGTGGTCATGTGGCCAGCATGACTAAACACCAAGGTGCACAGAACGCTGTTACTGTCCCCACCGAAGCGGCACCTATTTATCTACTTGCAATTTCTTGCTTTCGAACTGCTAGGCTGGCAGGAGCTGGGACCAGAGACGGGAGCTCACTCCGTCATGCGGCACTTGGGTCTCGAACTGCTGAACTACCCACCTTCCAGCCTGCAGTTCGGTGTCTTAAGCCAGTAAAACCCATCACCTTAGAACCAAAGTAGACAAAATTGCAAGAGTTCTGTGAATGTCTCTCCTATGACTTTTTTAAAAAATGTAAATGCTGTGAGGCATCTGATTGGGATTGGGGCTGTGGCACAAAGAGGTGGTGGTGGTCAGTGCAAGCCATTCCCTGGAGCTACTGTTTGCCTTACAGGGGGAAACACACACAGTCATCTGTAATTTGTCCTTCGGTCGTGCTCCGGAGGTTTCTCAATTTCATGTTCATTTCCTCGATAACACTGTCCAACCATCTCATCCTTTGCCATCCCCTTCTTCTTTGACCTGCAATCTTTCCCAGCATCAGGGTCTTCTACAGTGAGGGCTCCCTTCTCATTTGCTGGCCAAAGTATTTGAGCTTCAGTCTCTGGCCTTCCAGGGAACAGTCAGGGTTGATTTCTTTTAGGATTGATATATAGATACACACACACACACTTGCTGCTTGAGTGTTT